GTAGGAAAGCTTAGTTCTTTTTCCACTGAAAGAATGGCAAAGAATAGAGTATCATATGTAACAAATAATGGAGACTAAGGACTCATACAAAAGATTCAATAATCTAAATTGAAATGAAAATTGACCTCCTGGTCAGTAATACTGAAGATTTAAAATTGGAAGAAGAGTGGCCCAAACTCCTTTCTCTTCTAGGAATCTTCACTAGTGGGTAATCTTGAAGAGTTGTTTCTGGGGCAGATCAGAGAGGTGATTCTCTTTTTGCCTATGTTTAAGGGTAGGTGGCAATTTCTGGTTGAAATTACTGTGCTAACATCCATGTATTCTGGAGGTAGCTCTTGCCAACTCACCCTTTATCACAAGAATATGTAATTGTTGACCCAAACATGAAACCCCTGGGTGCGAGGACAGAGCCATGGAGAAGTTCTCTAGGATTCATACATGATTTACCTACAAGGGAACATAAACAAAACAGAATTTGGAACTGGGATTTAGGGGACATTTTGTGTTTTATATTAAACTCCAACCTGACTGGACTTGCTTAGTAACCTAAGTTTATTCAGAAAAAAAATCTGACATTTACAAAACTTCTATCTTCCAAAGGATCAAGTCAACTCCATAACACTTTTCATTCAAAGTACATCGTTTATATTTCTGAGCATGGATCAAGCATTATTTGTAGTCAATCATAATTTATAATCTCTATTTCCCCTTTTTATATTCTGTAAGTGATGGCAAATTCTACCAAATCTTCTGGCTTAAGAAAAAACCTCACAGTCATCATTTCCTTTCTGTAACTCATTCTCTATCTGCTGCTCTTCATTCAATTGGTCATGAAGTTTTCGTGATTGGATTCCAGATCCCTCTCTCCAAACCAACTATTTTGCCACTGCTGTAATCTCTCACTGGATCATTAAGAAATAAAATAAAATTCTAATTCTGGTTGCCATCAGTCCTGTACATCTTCTGTACCACTGCACACATTATCTTCCAGAAGCACAAATGTGGTCATGCCACTCCCCATATTTAAAAACTTACAATGACTTGCCATTGTTTATTGGAAAAGAATGAACAGCCCAATCCACTTAATCAACTACTGTCCCTCACCATGCACCCTATATTCCAACGACAGTGAATTTTTCTTTTTTCCAAAGACATCATATTCTTCTACACCTTTATGTGTTGGCACATGCTGTTTGCTCTGTCAATAATGCCTAGATTTCCCTGTTCTCCTAGATAGCATTTATTATTTACTTCTCTATGATGTTTACAGACTTTTATCTCTACAAATAAAAAAAAATACATCATAGCACAGTATATGTTTAAAGTCAGTATTTATAACTAGCAGAGGAGTTCCTCAAACACAGAAACTAGCTGATTAATTTTTATGTCTCTCCCTAGTCCCATCATCTAGCCTAATGTTTCATATCTAGTGGTTACTCAAAAATATTTCTTTGAATTGAATGGGGTGATAATGAGGTGAAACTAGCATTCCTTGTATACTAACTTCTTAGCTCACACTAACACAGTACAGAAACCATAGAACAAGGTCAAGGAGATGATAGGATAAACAGAGTTGATCAGCTCTGATGACTTAACCCCAATACCCAATACTCTTAGGAGTAAAAGAAAACATGGGAACCCAAGAGCCCCTTTATTGAGTTATCACTGAGATAAAATTTGCTCATATTTTATCTTGAAAATAACAGGTTAGCCCATAGAGACATGTTATAGATCCAAAGATTCCTCTATTACAGATTACTCACGTTCACAGAATTGCTGAGTATTTGACCATTTGGAGGTCTTTAGGCAGGTGATAGAGAATGACTTCTTCTTATACCCAGGAAGACATTCATATTCCCAAATTGTCCCAACAGCAAACTCAGACTGATCACTCTGAACTTTAGGCTTAGCAAAAGGATAACTTGGCGGGAACTTACACTGACCTAGAGACAAAGACCACAGGAATATCAAGACTAAGAAAGGCTAAGATCTCAATCTGTTTCTGTTTTGTCACCAGTTACACTAACAACTTTGATCTTTAGAGATTAAACCTAAAATGGCAATATTTTCTGGGTCAAAGAATATATATCTTGCAGTATGAATGCATATACAGAGAAATAAGCTCAGGAGTTCATAGATTTTTAGGATAGACTTTTGAGGAAAAGCTGGAGAAAATCATTTTTTAAACCAAAATTCCATGGAGACACTGGGGTTGTTCCATCTTCTTACAACCTCATAAATAAAAAGTTAAACCTTATCAATAAAGACTTTTCTGGGATAGCACAGGGAACAAATACATGAAAGGCCTTATAATCTCATCGCATGTATGACCTTCTAAAATTACTTCAATGAATTAACATTACTGTATTATTCATTAAATTTTAAGGTCGTAGCAAGAAGAAAATGAAGTTATTTGTTATCCTTCATTTATTTTATTCCATTAACCTAGGAGAGTAATATGCCCCCAAAAGAGCTTAGGAAATACTTCCTGATGGGTACCAGGTAAGATGAGCTAGCCATTTCAAGACACTTCCTTGTGATTTAAAATGATGATGATGATGATGATGACAATGATGACGATGATGATGAAGGAGAAGAAGAAACAAATTTTATTCTAGGAAATGGGTAAGAAACTATAACGCCCATACTGTAACACTTGAGGATGTACCTGAAAAAGACATTTTTCTAAGTATGAAAGAGAGGTAAAGATTCAACTCCAGAATGGTGGTATATTTGAATATCAAATTTATAAATTTCCTTTCTTAAAGAAGTCTGAAACAGATACAGGTGAAAGTCAGATAACAAACATGGACTAACTGACACAAAGGCAAACACGAGGCTCCCAAGCCAGACCCAGCCTTTTTACAGCCCAACACTTCTGCTGAGAAGCCACAGACTGGATCTAAGAATAGCCGTCACTGTTGGACACAGATCTCACTGCAGGTCTCCTATTTCCTTCTCCAACTTCTTTGGTTTCCTCCATTAACACCTACAAATGTCCCCAAGTGCATATTTTTGCAAACAGCAAGACTCTGGAGAGAAAGTCTGAGTTTGTCTTCAACGAAGGTCAAGTTCAGGACCCTGCTGTTATTTGTACCAAATTCACCCTAATCAAGTGATTTAACCTGTAATTATCAAACGTGAATAAGGACAATCCCAAATAATTCTCCACAAATTGGAAAATCGATTTTAGTTCACAAGATTTAATCAGTTTCAATGACATAGACTAAGATGCAACCAAGATCTTGAAGTAGCAAAAGTAGAAGAGTACTTTATAACATGACATTCAGAGGTGAAAAGAGATAAGAATCACACTTTCTGGATAAGAAACAGTGGGAAGTTCTTACTCCTAATAAGGAGACTTAGGGACTCTACCTCTTTTGAGGGACACTAGCTCTTCTTAGTAATGAAATTGACAAAATCCCAAGTCATATGACAGAATTTTCAGCAATCATGTTCTCTTCCACATCAGAAAAGGGAAAGTCTATGAATCATTTAGTAACATGAATTTTCTTAAGGTTCACTGCACCCTCTTCACATCTTTTTTAAAATCAGGAGGAAATATTAGTGTAGATCATGACTGGATCTAAAACAGAAGATAATGGCAAAGCACTGATATAAACATGTCTATATACATGTCTCAAAACATGTTAAAAACTAAGGAGGCAAAGGAGTTTCTGGAAAACAAGGATACATTTTACTCTTTATTTGGGTCCAAGGGGATTTACCTGGAATGGCTTAGAAATCTGTTTGAAATGAAGAACAAATACATAGGATAATAAAAATAAAACTGAAATTGAGAAAGCAGGTAGGAAGATAAACTATTATTGAGGATGAGAATTATTATAATCAAATACCATAACACAGGGTTTCCAGGCCACTTGATCATTTTTGAATGACGGTTATGCAGATTAACGAAGGTATTTTCTTAAGCACAGAATATGCATCAGTGAACATTAGATATAGGCTCCCACCCTCATGGAATTTATATTCCAATAGAAGGAGATAGATCATAAATAAATGCCAATAAATAAATAGGTGGTATGTAGAAGAAATAAACAGAGTGATGTGTCAAGATGGAATCTAATGGAAAAGGGAGGGGACAGGGTGGCATACAATTTCAATTATGACAGTTAAGGAAGGCCTATGAGGAGGAGACATTTGAGCTGTGACTGAAGGATAAGGAGGAGTTAGCCAGGTAGAATGCCAGGTAAAGCCAGGTAAAGATGAAGATAATAGACCAATTATCATAAACAAAAAACAGACTCACAGACATAGAATACAAACTTGTGGTTGCCGGGGGGAGGGGGGTGGGA